ACTTGAGCCCACTGCTACAGTCACTGGGTCAATTAATTTTTATTAGGATCTTCCTCTTTCTCTAACACTCCAGCTTTTCAAGCATGATGTCTCTTCCAAGGACTGTCCTCTCCTAACAACACTCCCACAGTATCCTCTCTGTCCATTCAATACTCTGAGCATCACATAGCACCACAACTCAAAGGTACCAATTTTTCTGTCACCTTTATTTGTTGTCTAGCAAGTAATTGACAAGACCATGGCTTGGATCAAGTACACCTTAGTCCTTAAACTGACTTCCCTGCTCTAGCTAAGATGATGTCAATGTCTTTAATATCATCTTCCATCAAATCGTCTATGACTCATAGCAACCATATGAACAACAGATCTTTTTTTTTTTTTAATTTTGTGTACGTGTACCGTCAAATCAGATCTGACTGGTACAGGAGGATATTGCGCCTCCTTCTCCGGCAGAGCGTCTGGTGGATTCGAACCGTGTTCCTCTGGGATTGCAGTGCAGTTTCTTGCCACTAGGCCACCAGAGCTCCCCTATGAACAACAGATCTTAACTCTGCCCTATCCTATGCCATCCTCACGATTTCTGATATGCTAAAACCCATTTTTACAGTCACTTTGTCAAATATCTTAAGGGTCTTTCTCTCTTTCTCACTCTCCACTTTCCCCAGCATGATGCCCTTTTCAGAATGCAGTGTGTATACAGGTTAATCATGCTATCTGACAGTGGAGTGTTAAGTCCCTATGAATCTTTCATAAGCTAAAATAGCATAAATTGACAAAGCAAGTACCATTCATTTACCTAGGGGAAAAAAATGTTGTGTTCCGTCACTTTACCTACTCATTGCATTCAAGGTGGAACTGACTCGCAACTAATACACCAGTGGGTTTTCAGACGGTTTAAATCACACAGGAGGGGATTGCCCCATTTTTATCCCATGGAGCCATGGTGGAGTCCAGCTGCCTTTAGGGCTAGTAAGACAGTTCTCTATGGGCTACACCACCTAAACCCCCTGTATAAAATGTTATTTGCCGTCAAATTGGAATGGACTCATAGCTGACCCTCCTCTCCAGCAAGTTTTCAGAGGCAGTGAATCACACAAGAGGAGAATGTCCATCCTTCTCAAGAGAAGCAACTGGGGATTCAAACCACCAACTTTGGGGATTATAACGCTGGTTCTCACCACTGGGCCATCATAGCTCCCTGTGTTTATGACCAGTCACCATATCTATAACTTGTATGTTAGATATGTATTATATTTTTTATATATTATGCTTAAAAACATAAAAGCAATACCTATAACCAGGTTCATACCTTTCAGCCAAGATCCATCTAATATTAGCTATAATATCCCTAGTACCACAGAATCTTCTAAACCCAGCCTATACTTCTGGCAGTTCTCTGTTGATGTGCTGTTCCAGTTGTTTGTTTTTTATAATTTACATCAGAATCATGCTTGCATGTGATATTAATGATATTGTTCTATTATTTCTGGACTCTGTCAGGTCACCTTTCTTTGGAATGGAAACAAATATAGATCTCTTCCAGTCAGTAGGCCAGGTGGTTGTCCTCCAGATTTCCTGCCACAACTTGATGAGCATTTCCAGGGCAGCAACTGTTTGTTGAAATATGTCAATTGGTATGCTGTCAATTCCTTGAGTTTGTTTTTTGCCAATTCTTCCAGAGTTGCTTGAACTTCTTCATCACCACAGGCTCTTGCTCATACATTGTTTCATTAAATTCTTCTGTGACCGCCAATTCCTTTTGCTACAACGACTCTGCATACTCTTTCCATCTTCTTTTAATGCTTCATGGATCATTTAATATTCTGCCCAAAGCATCCTTAAGTATTGTAACTTGAGGCTTGAATTTGTTCTTCAGTTCCTTCAGCTTAAGAATTGGTGAGCAAGTTGAGAACCTTTGATTTTCTGACTCCAGTTCTTTGAACACCTCATTATAATACTTTACTTTGTCTTCCTGCACTACCCTTTGAAATCTTTTGTTACGCAAAACCTGTACTTGGGCCAGGAGACAGAGTCATCAGAACAGAGCAAGAAAACACTGCATGGGTCAAAACTGGGAAGGGTGTAAGCCAGGGATGTGTCTTATCTCCATACCTTTTCAATCTATATGTAGAACATTATCTGGGAGGCTGGGCTACATAAGGAGAAATGTGGTATAAGGATTTGAGGAAGACTCATCAACAACCTGCATTACGCAGATGACAAAACCCTGATAGTTGAAACTGAGGAGGAACTGAAATGCTTGCTACAGAAGGTAAAGGACTGTAGCTTTCAATATCGATTGAAGCTCAACATCAAGAAAACAAAGATTCTCACCAGTGGGCCAATTGGCAGTATCATGATAAACAATGAAGAGATTGAGATTTTTAACAACTTCAGTTTGCTTGGCTCCACAATCAACACTCTTGGTACCAGCAGCCAGAAAATTAAAAGAAAAATTACATTGGGAAAGTCTGCCATCAGAGACCTCTCCAAAGTACTAAAAAAGCAACAATGTCAGTCTGGAGACTAAGCTGCACCTTTTCCAGGCCATGGTCTTTGCAATTACTTGATTTGTGTCAGAAAGCTGGACAATGACTAGGGATGATAGAAGAAGAATTGATGCTTTTGGGCTGTGGTGCTAGAGAAGAGTATTGAATAAATCATGGGCTGTTAAGAGAACAAACAGGTTTGACGTAGAATGGGTAAAGGCAGGGTGCTCCTTGGAGGCAAAGATTCTGAAGCTTCATCTGACATACTTTGGATATTTTGCAAAGAGGAATCAGTCCGTGGAGAGGGACGTTATGCTTGAGAGGGTGGAGGGACAGCACAAGAAAGGAAGATCCTCAATGAGATGCACTCACTATGAGATGCTAGTGACTCCACGGCACATAACAACATCAACAACAATATAACCAGGTTGTTGTTATGTGCTGGTGAGTTGTCTGTGACTCACAGCAACCTTATGTACAACAGCCATGAATCCTGCTCTATCCCGTGCTATCCTTTTTGTCTCTGACACATCTATCCCCATTACCCTAATCACTGAATCAATCCATCTCATCAAGGGTATAACCAGGAGAGAATAAAATAGATGAATGGGACCTTCTACAAATCAAATTTCTATGCACATTAAAAAACTTCTTCAACAGAGTAAGAAGGAAACCCACAGAATGGAAAAAAAATATTTAGTAATCACATATCTGATAAGGGACTTACATCTAAAATGTGTAGAGTACTTCAGCACCTAAAAAAAAAAAGAAACAATTCAATCACAAAATGAGCACAGGAAATTAAAAAATACTTCACCAAAGAAGACATTCAGATGGCTAACAAACATATGAAGAAATTATAAAAGTCCTTGGCTATCAGAGAGATGCAAATCAAAAAACTAAGATATCATCTCATGCCAGCCACAACACTAAAGTTCAACATAGCAGCAAACAACAAATGCTGGGAAGGTTGTGGAGAAACTGGAACTTTTATTCACTGGTGGTGGGAATGTAAAATGGAACAACCATTATGGAAGACAATCTGGTGCTTTCTCAAAAAGTTGGAAATAGAAATAACATTTGACCCAGCAATTACACTACTAGGAACATATCCTAAAGAAACTAGAGCTGTTACTCAAACAGATATATGCACACCCATATTTATTTCTGTGGTATTCACTATAGCAAAGAGATGGAAGCAACCCAAGTGCCCATCAACAAAGGAATGGATGGAAAAACTACGATATATTCACACAATGGAATATTGTGCAGCATTCAAAAACAATGAACTCAAAAATATTACACAACATTGGAGATTTGAGGACATTAGCTAAGTGAAGTAGTTCAGCCACAAGAAGGACAAGGACTTCATAACACACTATTATAAAATAGGACAGACATGGGGGGAGGGTTGGGAAGAGAATAAGAAGAGTGGCTAGATAATGACCAGATGAGGCTAAGAACTGTCCAAAAGGAATAGGATTAAACATTGTATGTATGACAGCAATCTAAAAAAGGGGTGCATTTTGGGTAGCCGAGGGGGAGGGAAGGAAATGTGCAACAAATATTTTAAAAGAAAAATATAAAAGCGTGCAAAATAAAAATGATTAACAGGAAAGCTAGATGGCGTCAAAGGTCTGGAGACAGTGGAGAGGGCGAGACTAGGCTACAACATACAGATTTAGAATAGCGTTAAATTTAACGCAATTCTGCTGTGTGTCCCCGAGTGGAAACCGACTCAAGAGCTGACCCGTCAGCGAAGCTGTAAATCACACCGGAGACTGCTCATCTTTCTCCCGCGGAGAACTTGATACCAGGTAACAAGAAATTCAGTGTCAGACTGCCGCGCTTGAATTCTGACTTTAGGGTTAAAACTAGTGTTTTCTGTTCAAGGGTTTCAAACTGCTTGGATCTTAAGAATCACTTGAGACTCGTTAACGGTATACATTCCCGGGCGGCTCGTTTGTATTCCTGGTTATGTAAATCTAGGAAAGGGCTGGGGAATCAGATTTAATCTGGGAAAAGAATGCTGAAACTGAATAAAGGACGTGATGTTGGCGGGCCAGGCGGCCAGATCTGGAAAACTTCCCCAAAGTTGGAAGAACTCCAACAGCACAGGAACTCCAGTTTAACAAGCCAACGGTCACCAGTCTTCTCCTCTTAGCAGACTACTCCTTTACCGAACGGAAGACGCAACCCAGCAAATGAATGGGAACCCGGGAAAACTGTAAAGTTGCTCCCAGCTACTTTAAACGCCCGCCCAGACTCGCTTCAAGCCCCACCCCCCGGTCTTCCTTCACGCTTTCTTCCTCCTCTCTAAGAAAATGGGAGAGGAAAAAACCCGCGAGATAGAAATATGGAGATATGGTGTGGCACAAACCAATGGGAGGAGGGGGGCGTGGTTGTAAGTAGTGCGCTCATTGGCCCAGGGTTGACGGAGCTTCGTGCACGGAAGCGGAAGTAGTGCGGTTGTGGGAAGACGTTAGTTGGTTTCGAGTCTGGTCTCTTCAGCTGTCGCCATCATGGTTCGGAAGCTCAAATTCCACGAACAGAAATTACTGAAGCAGGTAGACTTCCTGAATTGGGAGGTCACTGATCACAACCTGCACGAGCTGCGGATTCTGAGGCGCTATCGTCTGCAGCGACGTGAGGACTATACGCGATACAACCAGCTGAGTCGTGCCGTCCGAGAGCTAGCGCGGCGCCTGCGCGACTTGCCCGTGAACGACCCGTTTCGCGTTCGCTCCACTGCAGCGCTGTTGGATAAATTATATGCGTTGGGCCTGGTGCCCACCCGCGGCTCACTCGAGCTCTGCGACTTTGTCACAGCCTCTTCCTTTTGCCGCCGCCGCCTGCCCACCGTGCTGCTCAAGTTGCGCATGGCGCAGCACCTCCAGGCAGCCGTGGCTTTCGTGGAGCAGGGCCACGTGCGCGTGGGGCCTGACGTAGTCACCGACCCTGCCTTCCTTGTCACTCGCAGCATGGAGGACTTTGTCACCTGGGTGGATTCGTCCAAGATCAAGCGGCACGTGCTAGAATACAATGAGGAGCGTGATGACTTCGATCTGGAAGCCTAGCGAGACTCGCCTTCCATGGCTGCATTTTACAGCTGGGAAAACTCGGGCCATCAGTGTAAGCAGGTCGACGATTCTGCCTCTCTGCGTTTTTTTCGGGAACTCTCATCCTCAGCAGCAGGCCATGTGTGGAGCTGGGGATAAAGGGTGAACAGGTATTTTAGAAAACTGTCTTAAGAAGTTAGCTGAAGCTGTGTGACAGAGAGTGGTCTTAAATGGTTGAAATTTAAATGATTAGGCTCCTCTTGTTTAGAGGAATACTTTCTTAATTCCAATAAATGGGTCAATTGTTTGGTAAATAACTTTTTTGTCTGTCTGATTTTCTTATATAGAATTAGTAGCCACCCTGGCTGTGGGTGAGGCTTTGGAGGGCAGCTTGTGGAGGCTGCAGGATGTTGCTCAGGGCAGAACAGATTTGTCAGTTTACCAATCCCTTCCAGATCCTTTCTCAGAATGAATGTTTTGGCAGAGCTTTTCCCCACAGGATTTCCTGTTGATACTCCAGGAAATACCACGTTAGAGGGCTGAAGTGTTGGCTTGCCTAAGGAAATCATCACCCTGTCCTTTGGCCATCTAGTGGTTAGAAGGGACCCAGGAGGTTCCTGGAAATTTACATGTTCTTGTGAATAATAAAGATTCCTGGTGGGAACCCAGAAGATAGTTGGTTTGAAACTACCAGCATCTTTGTGGAGAGAAAAGTGAGCCAATCTGCTTTCTTCAAGATGTACAGCTTTGGCTATCATGGGCACATACTACTTTTCCACACAAATTTACTAAAGGGAGAAGGGGAATTTGTTTTATTCATGACTTCTGAAAAATAATAAAGTGCTTCTATTTAAAAGACCAATAGATTGGCTTTTTAAAATGTGCTGTCTAGGGAGCTCTGGTGGCCTAGTGGGAAGAAGCTGTGCTGCAATCCCAAGGGCACCTGGTTTGAATCCACCAGATACTCTGCTGGAGAAGGAAGGGCAATCTCCTGTGCCAATTAGATCCAATTTGAGGGTACACACACACAAATGTCCCATCTTCACTTAAAGTGGGAAGCAGCATTTGGTGAAGGAAGAATAACACTGGGGATGATAATGTTTTATTAGGCACAGTTAACTGCATTATATGAATTATTATTTAATCCAAAATCCTGTGAACCAGGGGATACAATTCTCTACTTTTAAGATGAGGAAACTTGTTGAGTAACCAACAATTGCATAGTCCCAAAAGTAGTGGAGTGGCATTATGCTCACCTTTCAGGTGTGTCAGGTTTTAAGAGATTCCCTAAGTAAGTTTCCAAGCCAGCAATGAGAAGTAATAGTACTAGGCAGTACTTTGATTCATCCCAATGACTTCATGAAGGTTTGGTTAGAGAGCAGATAGCTGGGAAAGCTTCAGGAAGCAGATAGGATATTTAAGAGGAAACTAACACTGCTTGAGGTACTAGGCTGCCATACATTCCAGCAAGCCTGCAAGAGTAGATCACCTGTCTGGGTCTGTGTAACATGCCATCCTATTCAAGAGTTGGTTACAGAGCACATCTCCTGGGTCTCTGTTAGTTTACCTCATCGCAAGCCTATAAACTTCTCCAAGGTCCTAGCAGTCCCATGTGACTCATGACTTGCAAGACACGTAGCTTGTCATTCATTCACCTGGTGTTGAGTGAGTGCCTGAGAGGGCTTAACATAATGTTGTTGTTGTTGATTGCCTTCTAGTCCCCTCTACAACTGAAGCCCCTTTACAACTATCGACATTTATCAAAGCTCATAGAGTTTGCAGAGGCATGTTATTTAGCAAGTGGATGCCACTCCTGCTTCCAACATGTAGCAGTAAACAAAATTACATGATTCCTGACATATAACTTGGGATCTATGCTGTGGAGGTAAAATTGCAAAGGTGTGAGCACAGGTGCTGTAGTTGACAAAAGGACATCTCAAATTATAACTGACAAATTAATCAGGCAGAAATCAGGAAACTTCTGGAGAATGAAATTTAAGACCTGAAAGATAAACTTGAGTCAGGCAGACGGAAGAGAAAATAGCATGTGCCAAAGCCCTGAGGTAGAAAATTTGTGCATTCTAGAAACAGCATGACTGGGAACAAATGGCCCAGGGTAAACAACAGCCAAATACTGCAGCACTTTATAATTGGGGCAAGGCTGTGGAATTTTGTTCTCATAATAAGTCATAAGCAATTGAAGGGTGTTAAGCTCGGGAATGACTCAGTAATAATACTATCTCACTGCCTATTGGGAAGCGATAAGAAGGTTTTTTAATCATCAGGGTGAAAGTGGATGGTTGCTTTGACCAGGGTGGTGACAGAATAACTGGATTTGAGGTCTGTTTTGGAGGTGGTGGTGGAATCGATTGGTACTGCGCCCTGACCCCCTTTACCTGGCCAGGGCACCCATTCCCCAGCTACTATGCAGGTTAGCTGTCTGCCTTCTCTGGAGCTTTGCTTCAGTTGATGAGCCATTTTCACCCAGGAAGTTTCATCCTCTCCACCACTATCCCCACCACACCTGTAGCTACTGACAGACTCATAAGAGGTACAAAAACTGAACCCTTTAAATCTAACCGTGTGATCTGCTTTGGTCATTGAATGTGACAAAGGTAACTGTCCATTCTGAACCTAGGCCTTAAGAATGTTCAGTTTCTCAACCATTAAGGAGAATCCACAATGAGGAGAGGATAAAATAGATGAATGAGACCTTCTAAAAATCAAATCCTTGTGTGAATCAGAAAACTCCAGCTGGGTAAAAAGGAAGTCCATAGGAAAAAAAATTGGTAATGATATATTTGATAAGGAACTTATATCCAAACAGTAGAATTCTCCAGTACCTTAACAAGAAGAAGGCAAACAGTCCAATTGCAAAGTAGGCAGAAGAGATTCCTCATTAAAGAGAATATTCATATGGCCAACAACCACATGAAGAAATGTTTGAGATCACTAGCTATTGTTGCCGTGTGTTGTTAAATCAGAACCAACTTATAGCTGACCTTCCAACGGGTTTTCAGAGGCAGTAAATGACCTGGGAAGAGACTGCTGGTAGATTCAAACTGTGTCCTTTGGGACTGCAGTGTGGCGCTCTCTAGAGAGAAGCAAATAAAAGTAATAATGGGATGTCATCTCATCACAGGAACAATCACAAGGTTCATGAAGACTTTAAATAATAAATGCTGTTGAGGGTGTGGAGAGACTGGAACGTTCATGAATTGCTGGTGGGAGTGTAAAATAGTACAACCACTAATGAAAGACAGTCTGGCGCTTCCTCAGAAGACTGAAAATAGAAATCCCATTTGACCCAGCTATCCCACTATTAGGAATCCACCTTAAAGAAAACAGAGATAAGACAAATAATGTATATGCACCCTTGTTTACTGCAGTAGTAGTATTCACAATAGCAGCCGAAGTGTCCATCAACAAACACAAGGATAGAGAAACTGTGGTATATTCTCACAGAGAAACTGTGGTACATTCACACAATGGAGCATTAAGCAGCATTGAAAAGCAATAGAGCAAACCAACATAAAATAAAAATTTTAAAAAATACATATTGTGGGGAGGGGTGAATAAATACATTGTATAAAACAATGTATGTGAATGAAACACAGTGCAAACTAATTACTGTATGAAAACTAATAAAAAATTGAAAGTAAAACAATGGAGAGCTTCAGAAACAATATACAATATGAATGAGTCTAGAGAACATTATACTGAGTGAGTTAACTCAGATACAAAGGACTAGTGTGGTATAAGACCACTGTTACACAATGGAGAGGATTAAAGGGCAGAAGAATATGGATAAGTGAGGAACATACATTGGAATAGGTGAACAGAAGATAATTCTGTAAAGAACAGCAATAAGATTCATGGACCTCTCCAGAGTGCTGAAAAGCAATGATGTCAGTCAAGATACAAAGGTGTGCCTAATCCAGGCCATGGTCTTCTCAATTACTTGTTATGCTCCAGAGAGTTGGACAATGACTAAGGATTATAGAAGAAGAATAGATGCCTTTGAGTTGTGGTGCTGGAGAAGTATCATGGACTGCCAAGAAAATAAATCAGTCTGTCTTGGAGAGGGTGAAACCAAGTCTCTCTCCTTGGAGCTAGGATTTTGAAGCTCTGCCTCACTTACTTTGGGCATGTGGCCAGGAGAGATCAGTCCTTGAAAAAAGACATCATGCTTGGAAGGGTGGATGGACAGCGCAGGAGAGGGAGACCCAGGATGAGACGGACTGATACAGTCACTGGGGTGATGGGGGATGTTGTGTCAGAATTAGTGAAACTGGCTCAGGACAGGGAAGGTTCAAAGCTGCTATACATAGGGTCACTATGCATTGCAGGCGACTCAACCAATGACATTCTATGATGGGTTTGGAAGCAGGAGTGACATCCACTTCCTAAACAACATGCTTCTGGAAAATCTATAAACTTTGATCAATGTTGATAGTTGTAGCGGGGTTTCAGGCCTTTTGTACATAGGGTTGCTGTGAGTCGTGCTCGACTCGAAGGCAATCAACAACAACAATGGAACTAACAAGCTGGTACAGGACATGTATGAGGGAATGAATGAAAAGAGAAGGGGGATAAATTTGTATAAATGAGTGAATGAAAAGTCAATTTCTTTATAAACTTCCATTCAAATCATAGACACACAATCTTTTGTCTCTCTGATGCCTGCTATCTCCATGAGAATAAGACTGGAAAAGTCTGCTGGAAGGTAAGGGACCATGTAGAGGAGACCTGGAGCAATCCAGGTGTGCCCAGCCTAATACAGAAGAAGAAGTGACAGGCTAAGTGTTAGGTGGGTGTGAGGGCTGAGGCAGATGACAAGATAAATATGTCTTCCTCTCTGCAGGTTTTCAAGGCATATATATGTAGGGAAGTGATTAATTATAATTATAGTTTTGCTGGGAGGCAGCCTTTGAAATTGATAAGAATCATGCTATATTAGCAGCTTCCCTGACAGAGGCTTTAGGGAGAAACAAAGAAGAGGCTGGGTCATGGATTTAACTGTGTCTTCTCAAAATGTATGGATGTAATGATATAATGTGG